TGCGTAAAATTCGTGAATTATTTTTTTCAGGTTTTGGCTTGTAACTGACTGTTTTATTGATCTACATTACGCTTAGTTTAATCTAGTGCGCTCGTTTTAATTTTTCACGCATTCGTGCGGTCACATTTTGATCAGCGCGATTCTTTTCATCCGAGTACTTTTTACTGCGAGATTTGATCTACGACTATTTGTTTTATAGAACTATATTTCACATAAATTACTTTAATACGTTGATTTCATTTTTTCAAGCTTTTTTGCGCCTGATTTTTATTCGATTTAATTCTTTTTACTTTTATTTTTTTTATCAAAATGTCAAGAAAAAATAAATAGAGATAAATTAGTGATCAATTTGATTTTATTTTCTTTATTAAAAAATGTATAGTTTTATTTCATTTTAATTATCAAAATCACTTTTATCGCGTTTTGGACTCAAGGTAAATTGAGGATTAATTAAAAAATCAAAATCCTAAAAATATTTTGGACCCAAGGGTAGATTGAGGATTAAGTAATAGTGGCCTACACAATAACCACCTATCACCTCATAAAATTTCTTCACTTGAACTACACAAACACCACCTTCAGTCACCACTAGGGCTGGCAATGAACCAAACCAACTCGAATATAGTTCGGAATTCGACTCGACAATTAAATCGTTGAACTAGGTTCATGAACCAAATGAGTTGAGTATGAGCGAAAAATTAAGTTCGTTAACTAAATGAGCTGAACTTGAACTATACATAGTTCGACTCGTTAGGTTCATGAGTCAACTCGATTACATATGAAAAGAATTATACTGTCTTTAAGATTAGGTTTAAATATTTACTTCAAATCTTAGACAAATTTAATCTTCAATTTAGTAGTTTTTGAATTAGACTCTCAAATGTATCTCTTGAAAGTTGTGTAGGTTTTGAATTAGTAGATTTCGAAGATAAAGTTAAATTTCAATATGATAACTTTTATTTTATTTTAATATTTTATTTAAAAAATATATATTTATTTAAAATGTCAAATATACTAAAATATATATATATATATATATATATATATATATATATATATATATATATATATATATATATATATATATATATATATATATATATATATATATATATATATATATATATATATTTAAAAAAATAGTTTTTAAGTTCGTGAACCATGTGAGCCGAACCTAATGAGATGAACCTAACGAGTCGAACCGAACTATTCGTGAACTTATAACGAGTCGAGTTTGAGCTTAAAAAAAAGTTCGTGTCGAACTCGAACTCGAATTCGAACAATTCTTAACGAGTCGAGCCGAGCTGAGGTGAGTTCGACTCGACTCGACTCATTTCCAGCCCTAGTCACCACCATGTAAACAACCTTCTCTCATCTTTAATACATGAATCATATGTTATTTTTGAACTTGCAGCAACCACTTCTAACCTCCCATCATCGTGCAACCCTTTCACACACAACAACATCATAAACACTTCATACAATGACCATCCTTTTTTTCAAAACAAAACTTCTGTTGTAAATTATAAAAAATTAATAATCTTGACTGTAGGCGAAACAATGTTGTTGTAGAATGTTTAAGAATGTTGTTGTAGGCGAAACAATATAACTTTTGGTAAAAGAACGTAACTTTTATCAAAATATTAGAATTCTTGGTAAAAAAAATTGTTTCACCAAGGGTCGCAACCTTGTGAAATAACACCAATATGACCTATAAATACTTGATTCTGGATTCAAAAAAACATAAAAAAAACACACATCATCTTCACTAAAATTTCAGACACTCTCCCCTACATTTGAATTTTCATCGATCTTGTGCAAACTTGCGTATATGATGAATTATCTTAGGTATTCTTGCGTTTCATCTCTAAAACATTTAAGAGTGTTTAAAATATTTTTGAAAAAAATGATTTCGTTCATGATTTTAATCTCGATTTATTCAGTTTATATTAATTTTTTAACAATCTTAAAAGTAATTCAAATAATAAAAACAAGGCTTCCATATCAAAAATCAAGAACAATAATCAACATCAAGATATGTTTTGTTACTCTAATGTAGAAATTTATATTAGTGTGAAATTTATAATATTGAGGGATTGTTTCTAATTGTTGATATCAAAGCAAATGATTATTGATATTATACTTTTTCTGGTAGTAATTAATCAATATGATAAGAATAATGTCTTAATGCATTTTGTTATGCATATTGATTCATAATATTAGTGCCATTATGCTAATGCCTGCGTAAAGTTTAAATTTTCTGCACTTGTATTCATACATGTCTCCATATGCGTTAAGATACGGTACCACAAAGCAAACGGAAATTTTGTGTGCATAAGTATATTATGATACATGTAATTGTTTTGATAACTTTCAAATAGAGTTATAAACAAGACCCAACTTGGCATAGTGTTGTTTACATAAAATTGTTGAAAACAATAGTTGAACCAAAATTTTAAAAAATAATTATTCTTTTCTGTATCTTATAATATCAGATTTTTGAATGACGTAACGTAATTAATTCTGTTCATGGCATAATGGCAGAAAGTTTTCTTTCAAGTTCTATTTATATACATTATATTCTGTGTGCACATGCTTTATTTTATTTATATACAGAGAAAGTAACTTATATATTAAATTAAATACAGTGTAAATTTATATATAAAATAATCGATCGACAGTGTAAATTTTACACTGTCAGTATATAGTAAATAATTGCAGTAAATAAAGCATGAATAAATATTATGCATAAATTATATATGTGGTGTATGTAATTCACATGGCCATTGAGGATTCATAAGATTTTGATTTGTATTGTATGAAATGGTGGATAAATGTGGTGTACGTAATTCACATGGCGATGTACTGTTACATCTTTAAGTGATGATAGAATAATGTGATCATAGCTTTACGTGTTTTGCTTAGGCTGCATATTATTATTACTTTGAATTGAACTCAGTGCGGTCAATCCTGAGATGTTTGTTCAATTTTTGTTATGATATAGTGATATGGTTAGCTAGAGTTGTTATTTGTTCATTAATTTTGACAAAAATAATCATCAAATTTTAAGAGAATTTTTTAAAGCATCACATGTGTTTCTTAGATATCATTCGATTTTTTTTTGTCAACCACGGGATGATGAGAGCATTCGTGGAGCGATGGTATTCTGAGACCTCTTTCTTCCATCTCCTGCACGGTGAGATGTCGATTACACTAGACGATGTCTCGTGTTTGTTGCATCTACCAATCAGAGAGACATTTTTCCATCATGCTAGGATGACCAAAGACAAGACAATCGATATGATGATGGAACATATGGGGGCTAATCTAGTGAGTGCGCTGAAGGAGGTGGATAGGACTAGGGGTGCTCATGTTAGGTTTTTGTTCTTGAATGAGAGATTTGATTTGTGTGTTATTGTGCAGGATTTAGGCATAAAACATCAAAATGTAAGACACAAGTAATTTTACAAGGAAGCCAAAGAAAATGTGAAGGTTTAGCATGTTTGTTGGGCGAATAACCAGCGAGGACCAGCAACGAATTTTCGCTGGACGAGCTCCTGGCGAAGCCCCAACGAAATCTCTCAGACTAGAGGCAGAAAGAAAAGAGCACTAAGTTCGCTCGGCAAACTTGAAGCGAATGTTCGCTAGGCAAGGTTGCGGTGAAGGACCAGCGAACCATCCAAGTTTTAAGGCAGTAACTAAAGGACCCTAAGTTCGTTGTGAAAACTTGTAGCAAAGAAGCTCACTGGGCAAACAAGTGTTCGCACAACAAACTTTGTGATTTCTTCAAGGGTGGTTTAACTGTTCAGAGGCACTTCAGGTGCCATAAAGTAGTGTTCGCTGGGCAAACTTGACAGATTTTAGTTGTACTATATAAGTACTTTTCACACTTTTTGGGATTATAACGCATTTTTCACATAGAAACCTTATTTTTCAACATTTCTTCACCAAAGAGTGATATTTTGTAAATAGAAGTTGGATTCGCATCCGAGTTCGATTCTTCGTCATGGATGCTCATTCATCTTCTCTCTTTACTTGTAAAGTAAGCTACCATGGTTATAGGTAGCTAATTTTCCTTGTATCAAAGGTAGAGGTAATCTACCTTAGCTTTATGTATTTCTTTTGAATGATATTGTATGTGAACTAGTGAAGATTAATATATGATGAATATTTTTGTTCTTAATGATCCATTCTTGTTTTGTAAAACTCTATACATAGATTTTATGGAACTTGAACTAAAATATTCATCTATCAATTTATAGATTGGAGAGATCGGTATATGGTTGATATTTGCTTTGTATTAAACTTAAAGCTTACTATATTGGTTGTTATATAAAGAGATCGTGTTAGTGAATACAGTATTTCTCACTACGCCTCTCTAGAGATAGACGGTGTTGAGAGGATACACGATGATATTAATCGGATCCGACTTCACATGCAAGATTGAAAGAATACATATAAGTTAGGATAGATGGAAACTACTTTTGATATACCTTATTAATTAAACACTTTAGAATTTATAAGCTTTGCTACTAAAAATCGTGACAATTTATGAACCAAAATTTGAAAACTCTTTTTCTTAGAACAATAAACTATTGAAAGGAAAGCATCAAGATATCGAACAACCCCTTTGGAGACGATAACCAAAACCCCCTTTTTTATCAGCTAACAAAATGGTGTCATTGCCGATGATTGTTGTGATATTGCAAGAATTGTAATAGTTTATTGATTTTAAGATCCTTGTATTATGATCTCTTACCTATGTATTTCTTTCTTGTGTTGTTTAATTTGTTTGGTTGAATGTGCAAATTCTGTTTATATAAGGGAGTATACCTGCAGACCAGCTTCTATTTGATCCAGAGATTGAAAGAACCACTCAGAAACTCAATAGCAGAGCTCGGCGGAGAAGGCAACTTGCCAAAGAAAGACGAGAGCACGGAGAAACTTATTCATCTACACCCATTCATGTTTTTTTTTGTTTGTATTGACTATTTTATTTCTTAATCAACATACTCATGATATGAAGGATCACGATAAACATCATATCTCACAAGTATCTTCCCTTTTGTCTTTATTTTTTCAGGCGGAGGTACCATCTTTGTTGTAATGGGGTAAGCAATTTCACACACCCTACTTTTTAGTTCTCTCTTTCCTGCCACGTCTAATGATCTGAACCTTTTCCACAATGCATCAATTTCATTGGTCATGTCCACCTCTACTCCATCCTCTATATCTACCTCTTGCTCACCTTCCATGCTGAGCTTCCTATGATGTATATGAATAGCATCAATTGGTATTGATTCACCACTTAATGTATCTCTTCTTAACTCACAAGCGCAAGGTAACCCGTATACTTTTTTTATGACTACACCCACATTTTGGTGTTTGTACCAACCATGTCAACCCTGCGCCACTCTTCAGCAATGTGTCTCAAAGCTGCTCTAGATACCGATCCATGGAAATTCGCATAATATGTACTAGTGTGCATATGCTCAACTTCATAAAAACTCTTTTGAAAAGAAGCTCTAATATTTATCAATTGCACTTTGATATTTCCATTCATATCCTCCCAACATTTGCACATATCACTTAAATTTTTCTCCAGCATCTGCTTCAGTTTCCAATGCACAGACTCATCCCTAACAAAAAAAAAGGTTCAGTATAATGAATATTAAGATAAACAAATTATGTCTAAATCAAACATATTACCTATTAGTTGTGATGTTACCCAAATGTAACACTTTATTGATCCAAGCTTCAACAAATCTATGTTTGTGAGGCGTCAACCATGTGTCTATCACATAATCAAAAAATGGTCTAAAATCCACACAAGCATGCTCAAGTTGTTGCAACTTTTAATGATACTCCACCTCATCATTACCCCTTACAAGTTCATGTCATATATTCTCTACCGACTCTTTCATAACATTCACAACAAACTTCTTGCACTTCGCTTTCACATTCTTGTTGATGTGAAATCGACATAGCATATTAATTTTCGTTTGAAATATTTTTCAATTGCTTTCATCAAAGTAAGATCTCTATTCGTTAAAATCACTTGTGGCCATAACTCGTACTTAGTGAACAACTATTTCAACTTATCTAATACCCAACACAAAGTCTTTGTTTGTTCAGGTTCCATATAGGCAAATGCAACAACACATTTTAACTCAGTTGGTGGCATACCAACTACTTCAAGCAAAGGTTGTATGTACTTATTTATTTTATAAGTACTGTCCATAATCAACACAATAGGAAACGTATTCAACAACTCCGCTGATTCTAGATGCGCCCAGAATATATCTCTCATAACTCCATACTCATCTTTTTTCCTACTCTAATAAACATAATCAGAATCCTCTATCAACTTAAACAATTGTTGCATTCCCGTTCAGGACCCCTGATGTATTTTTGAATCTTACTCTTATGTTTATATATTTGAGTTATTCGAGTCACATTCTTTGGATCTCGTTCTTGCAATGACAACAATATGTGTCTTGGTGGAACATGACATTTTGACAAATCAGCAATATGTTGTTGGTCATCAGCATTAAGTCGACTTACAAACACATGACCTTCAAATCTATCAGGTAAACCATGATTGTGAAGTCCACACTTTACGTCAATATTCCAACCAGAACCATCTTTAAAAGGTGTTTACCTAACTTTGAATGAACAACCACATTTCTTGGTAGCACTTTGTGTTTCACTATCTCCTTCTTTGTATTTTCCACCTCTATCACAACCAAATATGACTTTGTCACTTCTTCCTCTCTTACCAGTTTTGATGTCCAAACGAGTTATTATAACAGTGATTAATTTCTGATTCCAATCTTCCTAATCCACCTAATCGCCTCTTCTCATGTAGCAAATTTTTCTGTAGTAGAGGATATCTTCGTCATATCTACAGATGTATGGTTTTTGTCGCATATGATTAAAGGAATATTTATGTCTCCTAACAGAGGTAACAAAAATAAATTAAAAAATAAAAATTATAAAAAAAACACGTTTCAGAACTCTTATGTGAAAATTATCCGGTATAGAAAATTAATGAACCGGAATACTTCAACATAAGTTTTCCAGAACAATAAATAATTCAAACCGGATAACTTGCATACAAGTTATCCGAAGTTCTTCGGACATTCAAAATCAAACTGGATAACTTGTAAACAAGTTATCCGGTTAAGTAAAGTTAACACACCGGATGTATAACAATCAAGTTTTCCGATTTGATAATAATACCAATCGGATTTCTTTACCTGTAGTTATCCGGTACTCTTCGTGTACTTTCAAATATTCGTTTTTGACTCATTTGACTGCGCAGTATAAAAGTAAAAAAAATAAATAAAAATTAAAAGGTTAAAATTGTAGGGGTATGGGGTAAAATTTTCTATGTATTGTTTATTTATTTATTTTGATATATTGTTTATTGTTCTTGAGTTTTTTTTTTTGTAATTGATCTTTATTTATTTTATTTTTTGAATTGTTTGGACTTAAGACATGTTGAAGTTCTATTATGCGTTCTTAAAAAAATCTTTTATCGACCTTTTTGGTAATAAATATTTTTTGTAAATTATGTAGTAAGTCAAATTATAAAATAAAAAATTAGCGGGTCGGCCCCCCAACCCGCCAATTCGTTAGTAAACGGGACGGGATTGACTTTTGAGCTCGGACGCCTAAGTTGGTCCGTCCCGCCCCACTCCGCTTTTAGACGGGCTTAAACAGGACGGGCTGCCCACTTTTCCACCCTTACTAACTACACATAACCAAAAAACATATCGTACAACGACCCTTAGCTTAAAAGTTCAAAATTTCTAACCAAACATAATTAGGAAAAAACAAATATAACATTTCTATTGCATATAACCTAATGTAACATAATTATAACTTATATAGAAAATGCATGCACCACATATAAAAAAAAGTAAAGAAATGTGAAACTTAACAAATGTGAGAGATAGATGATAATGAATTGGATTAGAACTTGACAAATGTGTTAAGTATGAAAGTACGAGAATATAAGTTGTCAGAAATATTGAAAATATTGGTGCAAGAGTAGGCAATGATGAGCTCTATTTCACTAGTTCAAATTTGATGAAGTAAAGGTGAAGGAAGATGGAAAAATTTTAGTACAAATACTTAAATGAACACATCCAGATTTCAATCTTTGTAAAGTAAATCTAGATTTTTAAGTCCGGACCATTATAAAACTTTGTTTTTCCTTGGTTCTGAGATCGTTTAGGGTGGTGTGTTTAGATGCGTTTGAATTCCAAAAATGAAACTGTTTTTTTTTTTTTACCTTTGATTTACCTTGGTTGGGGTGGTGTGTGTTGTGTATTTGATGCATTTGAAGAGTGAAATTCATATTCTAAAGATAGCTTTGAAAATTTTCTAAAATGGATGAGGAAGACATGAGGTGTAATTAATAATGCTCATTTTAAATAAGTAAGCCTCTTAGATGAAGGCTTTCAAAAGTAAACTTGGGCCTACTGCTCCAGTTTTTCCCATCAAACATTTTTTTAAACAATTTAAGTCAAATATTTATTATAAAAATATTTTTATTTTATTTTTTTCAGAACAAAAATATTTATTTTTTCATTACAAGTTTTTTTCTTCTAAATAAACTTTTTTTTTCAAATTTTTTAAGCAAAATATATAATTTTGAAATAATTTTTATTGTGCCATAATATTTGGAAACATAAGTATTTAATAAAGAAAAATGGATAAGCACCAGCATCTCTTGCAAATACTCATGTTTAATTTCATCTTTACGGGCTCTCCACGAGTAACTCATTGGTGTTGTTGTCGTTCCAACAAAGTCTTTGAAGCTTCAACTCTGTAAAGTTCAGGCCAAATTTCTTCAGCAATAACAATAATAGAACTTGTTAACAAACCGGATGAATGCCTCCTGAGTATCCTCTCCAGAATAGTGACCTTGAATGCAACTTCGAGTAGGTATTGTCTTCACCTTTTCTCTTAATCCATTTGTGCTCTGATTTTCGCCCCTAATGCAATCGTGTGATTCCATATTTCTTGACCCTGCTTTTCAGGATTTAGGGTTTTCTTTTCTTGTTGTTCTTTGACTCGTTTTGGGTCGTAGTCCATGTTGAGGTCAAATCCAGAAGACAGATGCGTAACAAAAGGAAAATGACTATTGCAGCTGGTTACGTCATATTGGGACGCCTTCAACATCAACGGTTCATCAGGTGGAGAACACTCTGAGCTTAACATAAGGTCTTTCCAAAAGCAGCTTTCTAAGAATCCGTATACTTTAAATTGCAGTAACTCTAACTGTCTTCATCACTTGTAACCCCGTGAGACGCGTTCATTTTGTATTGCAGGGGAAACCGTGGAATGGAGGAGTATTGAGTAAGGTCGATGTCGTTATAACAGCCGTCAATTTGGATTGGGTGGACATAAAAAGTCGATATTGCCGGGAGACATCGCCACTTGAAGGTTTGTTTTACATCTCCATATGGCTATATGTTTCTCCTCTTTCAAGAATGGTGATAGTCTGCTATAATTAATTTCTTCTTTAATGCACATGTGTTCCTCTTATAATTAGCTTTTGATGTCACGAAAGCATAATTTCTAAACGTTCCCTTTTTCATGTGTTGGTGCTTGTATGCTCGTGCCAGTGACCGTTATTTGTCGGTTTTGTTTACAGGTTATTGAAAAGGTTACGGAATGTCTAATGTTGCTGCTTAGAAATACCACAATCAAGGACAACCGTGCCATCAATGATGTGAGAACTCCCTCAATTTGAAAACGATGAGCCGAGGCGTCTTCGGAGGTGGTAATGTCATGAGTTTCAAATTCCAACCAGGGGCTGCCGCTACGAACTGCAGTTCTTCTCTTTCTTTCTCAGGCTGGACAAAGTCGTGATATTTGAGCCCACATTTGAATCCACATGCCTGATGGCTTCAATATTGACTGGTATTGTTTCTGCTGAAATGGAAGTTGGTGCCGCCATTGGTACGTGACTTATTCCACTCACCTATTTCCTATTCTTGCAATCTGTTATTGCCAAAGGATTAAATCAAACTCCTTCTGTTGGATACTACTGCCGTTCTTTCTTCTGTTATCACTTTGACGGGAATGCTCCTTGTTGCAGGTATGACGGGAGCTGCAGGCAAGAATATAGTGCTGCTTGATCAACTGGATTTCCCATGATCACCCCGGTAGAACCTACAGGATGCTGTGGTGGGACATAATAAGATGGAAGATCAGCTGCAGGATCCATCATTGGAATATT